TGTCCTATGTCAACAAGTATGTTTTTCTTGATCAGGAAAATCTCGAACACATTTTTTGGGAGATATGAATGAAAGAATACAAAATTACACTAAAGTTTGAATGCACTCATCAAATAATTTTCAAAAATGCTCGTTGCTTACAAATTTTTAAAACGTTGAAAATACTACTTCCCTTATAAATATCGTCATTATAAATATCCTCAGGAATATATTTACCCATCAAGTAACTCTATATCTATTTCTGCGGGGATTTAGGACGCTTTGAATCGTGTTCATCGCCAAGCTCGTGTTGAAGATGAAATGAAGCATGCATTGAAAGTGTATTTTAAACGTAAGGATATCACGAAGGAAGAATACAAGATGATTTTAAGAAAGGCTGTACCACAGGTTAGTGCGGCTACTTTATACTCTTGAATTATCTGTGCCAGTGTAGGTAGTGCCGATAATGTAAACAAGCTTTCATTGGTAGGGATGCAACTACCTGAAAAATATAAGGAGAATTTCGTTTCGAGCGAAGGCCCTACGTCTGGAGTTACTCCAGACGATGTAGTAACTCCAGACGATCTAGTAACTCCAGACGATCTAGTAACTCCAGACGAAGGGCCTTCGCTTGAAACGTCGAAATTCTCCAAATATTTTTTAGGTAGCTGCATGCCTATCAACGAAGGCTTGTCCATATACTTTATACTCTCATTGTTCAGTGTGCTTTGACCTGTATGGTCTCCCAAACACATTGGAACAGTAGGAGTTTTAGGAGAGGACCCTTACTTGGACCTATAGGAAAACGGTTTAGGGACTGACAGTATTGTATGCATGCAGAATAAGTGAGGATACTTTAATTTGCACTAGTTTTGTGTGGTTATATCAATTATTCGCCGAGATGGAGGTGAATATTGCAAGGAGGATATTCACCAAGACGCGAAGCGTAGAGGTGAATATCTTTGCACTATTCACCGACACTGAGGTTGCACTAAAAGGGTAATAGACACAGACATGAATGATTTTTCAGTTTTATAGTATACAAATAATGAATGTTTATGACTGCAATGGTAAGAATATTTTCATGAGGTGAAAGATGGAATGTTCCATTCAACGAGGCGACAGCCGAGTTGAATGGAACATTCCATCTTTCACCGAATGAAAATATTCTTACCATTGCACGAATAAAAACATTCATTATTTGTTTTATATAATACCAAAATAGACAAATATTAAAAGGTTTACTGTAAGCTCCCGCCATTTTGACGAGTCGTATTTGCATTAAATCCCATTTACTGAGTTTCGAATATCGGGTTAAAATAAACTGCGATCGCCGTACGAGAAGCATTTTGACGGATGCGATTTATCGAAAACACAAAGAGTGCAATGGAATAAAACGTATAGTACAATTGCACTCGCAAGAGTGCAATGGAACGTATTCCATTGCACTCTTGGGAAATGGAATTTTCTATTCAATATCACGTGACCATAAACAGCCAATTAAACGATCAGAATTCAATATGGTATTATATAAATATATATATATATATATATATATATATATATATATATATATATATATATATATATATATATATATATATATATATATATATATATATATATATATATATATATATATATATATATTCATGTAATATTACGTGAGATACAAACGTTTGAATGTGGCGTACGCTTTAAAAATGAGTAAAAAAATCGAGAAACATGACTGATCAAATTTATATGAAAACAAATTGCCATTTTCCACAAAAATTAACAATTTCAATTTCAGCATTTCAACTCAACTTTATAGGGTAATGTCCTAGTTATAAGTTACCCTTTCGTGTTTCTTGGAAAGCGAAATAAGCATGAAAAATTTAACAACGTTCGAAAGCATATTTGACGTCCTTTGAGAGTTCGTGTTATAAAGTTGGTCCTCGTTCGCCTTTCGAATATGCTTCGATTAACAAAAGATCAAAGAGTTTGGCTTTTATGTTTTCCCGTGCAAGACATTGTATACGTGCAAGGGGACATACTTTCTATGATAAATGAATAAAT